TTTTTGAGACGCAGTTTCGCTCTTGTTACCCAGGCTGGAGTGCAATGGCGCGATCTCGGCTCACCACAACCTCTGCCTCCTGGGTTCAGGCAATTCTCCTGCCTCAGCCTCCTGAATAGCTGGGATTATAGGCCCGCGCCACCATGCCCAGCTAATTTTTTGTAGTTTTAGTAGAGACGGGGTTTCACCGTGTTGACTCGATGGTCTCGATCTCTTGACCTTGTGATCCACCCGCCTCGGCCTCCCAAAGTGCTGGGATTACAGGCGTGAGCCACTGCGCCCGGCCTTTTTTTTTTTTTTGAGACAAGCATCTCCCCTTATTGTTCAGGCTGGCCCTGATGTCTGGGGCCCAAGTGATTCTTCTGCCTCAGCCTCTTAAGTAGTTAGGACTACAGGTGCGTGCCACCACACCTGGCTTGTTTTACCAGTTTATCTTCCCTCTAAAAGAGTATGTTTTCTTTCTTTTATTTTTTTTTTGAGACAGGGTCTTACTGTGTCACCAAGGCTGGAGTGCAATGTTTAATGTTTAAAAGCTAAATAATGGAAAATTGTCTTCTATTCACAACTACATTTCAACAATAAGAATAAGCTAGGTTCAGCGGCATGTGCCTGTAATCCCAGCTATTCAGGAGGCTGAGGCAGGAGGATCACTTGCGCTCAGGAGTGTGAGGTTCTAGTGAGCTATCGTCATGCCACTGCACTCCAGCCTGGCCGACAGAGCAAGATGCAGCCTCTTTTAGAAAAAAGAGAAAACCAGTAAGAATAGGAATAAATCTCACAGCCAGATACACAGAAGAGTACGTATGCTACATGATTCCACTCATATAAACCAAAAAACAGACAAAGCTAACCTGTGTTATTCATAGTCAGGAAAGTACTTTTCTTGGAGGGGTAATCACTGGAAAGAAATATAAAGGGAATTCTAGGAGAATTGTTAATGTTCTTTTTTAAAAAATCTGGGTGCTCATTACAAGAGCATATTGGTTTGTGAAAATTTATTGAGCTATATACTTATGATACGTATATATCTCTGAACACATGTTGTACTTCAATAAAATGTTTAAAAAATACTCTGCCTACCCAAGATCTTCTATTTTTCTACTCCAGTTATTTTGTCCCAAAATAGAAGGAAAAGCATTTCCATGGCCAGATGACTGAACAGAAAGGGCATTTAGTTTTCCAAAATATTTTGACCAGGACGAAGGCCACAGATGCATGGGAAGCTGTTTATACTCCAGTCTCACTTGGAATGATCAGTGCTCTGGGGTAATGGTGGCAGAGAGAGCTAAACACATCTTCCTTCCTTTACAATTAGCTCAGAGGATTCACTCGTTAAGTCAGTATTAATCACTTCCTAATTAATAATTAAAGATGACATTTTAGGGTCTCTCTATATTTGTTCACCCAGAAAGTCATTCACCAGAAGCTATAAAAGCACTTCATAAATCTGGCCATGTGACAAACATATACAAATGCCAGAGGGCAAACTATTTAACCAGGAACAAATCAGCAGTGGTGAGAACAAAGCCCTTCCCTTCGGCAATGTAAGCTGGCACAGTGACATATGGCGTAATACTGAGAGCAAACGCAATTCCAGCAGAGAAAAGAAACAAAATAATCAAAGGTAGTAAAGTTCCCACAAGTAAGACAATCATATCTAGAGCAAACACCTTGATATTTTTATCATTAAAGAAAAAAGAAGGCCAGGTGCGGTGGTTCATGCCTATAATCCCAGCACTTTGCAAGAGGTGGGTGGATCACCTGAGGTCAGGAGTTCAAGACCAGCCTGGCCAACACAGTAAAACTCTGTCCCTACTAAAAATACAAAATTAGCCAGGCATAGTGGTGTGCGTCTGTAGTTCCAGCTACTAGGGACGCTGAGGCAGGGAATCGCTTGAACCCTGGAGGCGGAGGTTGCAGTGAGTGAGTCAAGATTGTGCCACTATTCTCCAACCCAAGCTCAAGGCTGGGCACAGTGGCTCACGCCTGTAATCCCAGCACTTTGGGAGGCCGAGGTGGGCAGATCATTTGAGGTCAGGAGCTCGAGACCAGCCTGACCAATATGGTGAAAACTCATCTCTACAAAAACATAAAATGAGCTGAGCATGATGGCAGGTGGCTGCAGTCCCAGCTACTGGGAGGCTGAGGTTCGAGAGTCACTTGAAACCAGGGGTGGAGGTTGCAGTGAGCTGAGCTCAAGCCATTGCACCCCAGCCTGGGTGACAGAGCGAGATTCCATCTCGAAAATAAACAAAAAAAAGAAAACTAATATATCTTCTCCATACTTGGCCCCTACATGTACTCAATGCTCAGGCCACACAAATTGTGGAAGTAGTCAGATGTTCATGGCAACGTATATAAAAGGATTTTCTCCCCTCTCTTGTTGCTGCTATGTCTAATTTTTTTCCCTGGAGACAGGGTCTCACTCTGTCACCCAGGCTGGAGTGCAGTGGCATAATCATGTCTCACTGCAGCCTCAACTGCCCGGGCTCAAGTGATCCTCCCACCTCAACCTCCCAAGTAGCTGGGACTACAGGTATGTGCCACCACACCTGGCTAATTTCTTTTAAATTTTTTTTATACAGATGGCATTTCACCATGTCACCCAGGCTGATCTGGAAATCCTGGGCTCAAGCAATTCACCCAACTCAGCTTCCCAAAGTGCTGGGATTATAGGCAAGAGCCCCCATGTCTGGTCTATATTCTTATAAAAGAGGAAATGAGAGCAAGGAGATAGCAGCACAGTGGAGCGGAGGGAGAATGGGACTAGAATGAGTTTAAACCTGCTAGCTGGCCGTAGGCAGGTCCCTCGTGCTTTCTGAGTCTGAATTTCCATATCTAAAAAATTTGGTGGCTGGGCACGATGGCTCACACCTGTAATTTCAGCACTTTGGGAGGCCAAGCCGGGTGGATCACCTGAGGTCAGGAGTTTGAGACCAGCCTGGCCAACATGGTGGAACTTCGTCTCTACTAAAAATACAAAAATTAGCTGGGCATGGTGGCAGGTGCCTATAGTATCAGTGCTCCGGAGGCTCAGGTATGAGAATTGCTTGAACCCAGGAAGCGGAGGTTGCAGTGAGCTGAGATCGTACCACAGCACTCTAGTGAGTGCTCAAAAAAAATTTTTTTTTTTGAGATATAATCTTTACAGTCCTTTTCAAGGGATCCTTTCTTGGTACTTTATGGTTAAAAGCCAAAATGAATTTTTTTATCTAAGCTCCTGCACTAGAAACCTAACAGGTCTCTATTCTCAGTGGATACAGCAATTGCCTATCTTATAGTGGAAGAAGAAAGACTCCCCAGGTGGTATAATCCTTGGCTTCAAGTGACAGTGGGACAAAGAGCTACAGAATGTTAGGCTGGAAGGGGCTTCTTTTTGTTTTTTTTGTTTTTTGAGACCGAGTCTCACACTGTCGCCCAGGCTGGAGTGCAGTGATGCCATCTCAGCTCACTGCAACCTCTACCTGCTGGGTTCAAGCAATTCTCCTGCCTTAGCCTCCCAAGTAGCTGGGACTATAGGTGTGTGCCACCACGTCCGGCTAATTTTTTGTATTTTTAGTAGAGATGGGGTTTTACCATGTTGTCCAGGAAGGTGTCAAACTCCTCATCTACCCGCCTCAGGCTCCCAAAGTGCTGGGATTGCAGGCATGAGCCACCATGTCCGCCCCTGCTGGAAGGGACTTTGAACATGCAACCTTCTTACTACAACACAGAGGAAAGTGGTTCTCAGACAGGGACCCAAACTGGGCTGACTCATCTCTAACACGTGGTCCAGGGCTCTTCCCATAACGTCCCACTGGGGAAAAATAAAATAGGGACCACAGGATGAATTAACGTTTGCCTAAGTTGGCCAGTTAGCCCTTAAAATACTATCATGTACTCAGAGAAGTGTACAATAATTGTGCTAATGAGTAAAAACCAAAGGGAACCAGGTGACTTTGTAATATCACACTTTATGCTTATTGCATGAGGAAAATTGGCGCGGTGAGTCAAATAGACTTGGACCTCTGCTTCCATGATTCATGACCTGGTATCATCCCTTTCTATCTATGCCCGCAATGCTGATAAACCCTTCCATGTGTCCACCCTAATTTGAACTCTGTAACCTTGCTTCGTTACAATATGAGATTCATCTTTGGAAAATGTGTTTCTTTGAAACTTGCTGAAAGGTATCACGTACAGCTTCTATATATTTAGGTGTTTTGTTTTGTTTTTGTTTTTGTTTTTGAGATAGGGTCTCAGTCAAGCACCCAGGCTGGAGTGTAGTGGTGGGACCATGGCTCACTGCAGCCTCGATCTTCTGGGCTCAAGCAACCCTCACCTCAGTCACCTGAGTAGCTGGGACTACAGGCATGTGCCATCATGCCAGCTAATTTTTTATATTTTTTGGTGAGATGTGGTTTTGCCATGTTGCTCAGGCTGGTCTTGAACTCCTGAGCTTAAGTAATCCACTCACCTCGACCTTCCAAATGCTGGGATTACAGGTGTGAGCCACCAAGTGTTAGCCTACACATTTAGGGTTTTTTGTTTTGTTTTGTTTTTGTTTTTGTTTTTGTTTTTTGAGTTGGAGTCTTGCTCTGTTGCCAGGCTGGAGTGCAGTGGCCCAATCTCGGCTAACTGCAACCTCTGCCTCCCAGGTTCAAGTGATTCCCCTGCCTCAGCCTTCCGAGTAGCTGGAACTACAGGCACATGCCACCATACCTGGCTAATTTTTTGGTGTGTATTTTAGTAGAGGCAGGCTTGCTCCATGTTGGTCAGGATGGTCTCGATCTCCTGACCTTATGATCCTCCTGCCTTGGCCTCCCAAAGTGCTGGGATTATAGGTGTGAGCCACTGCGCCCAGCCCACATTTAGTTTTTATGCATATTCCTTCCCTGGAAACTTCATACCTGCTACATATGAAACATCGAAATTGACAACAGAGAGGGACTAATGTATGTTGCACTGACTGAAGTAAAAAGTGGGAGATGTAGTGAAGTGGATGAAGTGAATGAAATGAGGGAATGAAGCAAAGGCATATTACGCTTCATTACAGAAACACCAAAAGAACTACGTTTGCTTTTTCTATAAAGTGCACGTATGTCTATATAATTTATCATTATGTCCATTTGTGATAGAATGACTAGCTTTCCTTGATACAGGACAAACTTGCTGTGACAAAGCTGGCACAAACTGCATTTAAGTTTTCTGCAAAGGAACCTACAAGCCATTCTGGCTTGTTCCCATGAAATTCACATTAATTATGCTCCTTTACATGGAAAAGGTACCTTAAAGAGATCCAGGCTGTGGCTGATGTCATTTCAAACCCAGACTATAACAGAATCTAGTAAATAAGAGCATATATCTGAAATTATTTGGTAGAAAAGATTAGCCACGTTCAAAGTCCATTTCTTATATAGATAAGGCTTGACTTTTCACTCTAAGCAAATGCTCAGTAATAATGTGTGGAGAAAAGTTAGATTCTTCTATCATAATTCAAGTATCAACCATTTCTCAATCAGATTTCATTTATAAAGTGAAAAAAACACACGTGGAGCTATAACTATGAATAAGATGTAAATTTTCAGGGACAAGAATCTTGTTTCCTACTTTGCTGTTTCATAAACCATCTAGTGGTAGGTGCCGAAAAATATTCACTGCATTCGAATATGAGACAGATATGTGTACTACTTGACATGCATTTGAGTCATAAGTACAAGTTACCTGCAAATGAAAAACCTGATCTCCAATGCCTGAGACACCAGAGAAACACTCACCATCAATCCTATCCACCATGACCGTGTGGCAAACTGCGAGCAAGAAGAAGAACTGTCGCACTTCCGGCTCCTTCCCTGATTGGATTTGCTCAATAAGATAGTGGTCATAAAATGCAAACTTCCCATCAGCATATGTGTTCCAGCTAAAATCAACTTGCTGAAAGAAATAGAGAAAAGCAAAATATGCTTTTATAACATATTTTTGACTTAACAAATCACATGAATTTTTCTTCAAAGTCAGGCAATCCACTCACTCATTTCTTTGTATCCTTTGAAATGCAAAAACCACCTTCAGATTTTAGCATATTCTTAAATGTCAAGAGGCTCACAGCTATCTTAAATAAAGACACTTTTTTTTTTGAAACAGGGTCTCACTCTGTCATCCAGGCTGGAGTGCAGTGGCTCGATCTCAGCTCTCTGCAACCTCCGCCTCCTGGGTTCAAGCAATCCTTCTGAGTAGGTGGGCCTACAGGCATGCATCACCATACCTGGCTAACTTTTGTACTTCTTTGTAGATATGGGTTTTCACTGGTCTCAAACTCCTTGACTCAACTGATCTGCCTACCTTAGCTTCCCAAAGTGCTGGGATTACAGGCATGAACCACCATGCCCAGTCAAAAGGTACTTTGCGGTAGATTAAACTGTGTTCCCCCAAAAGATGTTGAAGTTCTAACCTTCTGGTACCTATGAATGTGACCTTATTTAGAAATAGGATCTTCACAGATGTAATCAAGATCAAATGAGGTCATACTTGATTAGGGTGGGTCCTAATCCAATGACTGGTATCCTTATAAGAAGAGAAAATGTGCTGGCCAGGCATGGTGGCTCATGCCTGGAATCCCAGCACTTTGGGAGGCTGAGGTGGGTGGATCATGAGGTCAGGAGATCGAGACCAGCCTGACCAACATGGTGAAACCTTGTCGCTAAAATACAAAAATTAGCTGGGCGTGGTGATGCACGCCTGTAATCCCAGCTACTCAGGAGGCTGAGGCAGGAGAATCACTTTAACTCAATAGGTGGAGGTTGCTGTGAGCCAAGATCGCATCACTGCACTCCAGCCTGGGCGACAGAGTGAGAATCTGTGTCAAAAAAAAAAAAAAAAAAGGAGAAATGTGAATACAGAGACACACAGACACACAGGGGGATACCATGTGACAACAGAGGTAGAGACACAGAGTTGTGTTTCAAGTCTCTAAGTCGAGGAACACCAAGGACTGGGGTAACCACCAGGTGCAGGGAGGAACAACAAGAGTCTTCCCTAGACCTTCAAAGGAAGCGTGGCCCTGCTGCGACCTTGACATACATCCCCAGCATCCCAAACAAGTCTTCAGCTTTAAGGTCTTACCTCTATTTTGTTATGGTTGTGTTGAGAGGCATCCCGATGGTCCCCTGAGAAACAAACAGGACAAAACAAATTGATTCTCCACCTGTGTCCAGAAGTCCCTCCTTGCCTGGCTTTGCTCAATAATGGTGGTGGTGAGACCACATATGACCTGGAAAGGCTGAAATATTTATTATCTGGCTCTTTACAGAAAACGTTTGCTGACCCCTGGTCTAGATATTCAAATACTGGTGCCTCTCCACTACATTATCCTAGGGGCCTGAATCATATCCTTTGAAATGCTTTACCTCTCCCAAGTCAGAAGGACCCACACGTGTGAGCCACGTCCTCAGCCCCTCAGCATCCCTCCATCCTCACGGATACTCCATATGAGAAAAAGCACTCACAGTGTACAGTTTCCTACAAGTAGGAAGTATATTTTCATTTCCCTACATCATTTTAAACAGTTGTGCTATTAAGTCTATTTGAAATAGAGAACACTCTATTTAAATATAGTATTAGCCTTATTATTTGTAAACTTACAGAAAATTAAATTTCTAAATGTTTCAGAAAATAAGAACGGAAATCAACCTTTAAAACAATTGGCTGGGTGTGGTGGCTCACTCCTGTAATCCCAGCACTTTGGGAGGCTCAGATGGGTGGATCACCTGAGGTAAGGAGTTCAAGACTAGCCTGGCTAATATGGTGAAACTCCATCTCTACCAAAAATACAAAAATTAGCCAGGAATGGTGGCACGTGCCTGTAGTCCCAGCTACTTGGGAGGCTGAGGCAGGGGAATCACTTGAACCTGGAAGGAGGAGGTTGCAGTGAGCCAAGATCACACCACTGTACTCCAGTCTGGGCAACAGAGTGAGACTCTGTCTCAAAAAAAAAACAAAAACAAAAACAAAAAACAACTGTA